CGCCTTGCTGTGACGGTGGAGAGGCGCTCTGAACACCAGCTCAGACGCAGCTGCTACGGTCGAGCTACTCAGCCTCCCTGAGCCTCAGCGTCTTGATGCATAAAATGGCTTTAAGCGTCTACCCCTACTGTGAGAACCAAATGAGATAATAACATGTGAAACACCGAGTGGAGTGGCTGGCACATAGCAGGTGCTCAAACAGATCTCCTTTTACCTTCTCAAAGACTCACCTTCCTTCCTTTTTGATGTGGCAAACATAATGGCCACTCATTGTAGATGTTCCCATGTGACTGATGAACGCAAATAATTCGTACACTGGGAAAGAGGAAACAACTCAGTTACAAGGTGGCACTTCTAGAAATCAATAGCACTTCTGATCAGAATTTAAAGCCAGTAAGAGTGTAATCCAGCAACTGGAAAGACACAGTCTGTTTACTTGCTATGCTGAGAACACCCACATACACACACATCCCAAGTGACACCGACTTCAACCTGCAAATTCGTATCAAAAGCAGGACATAATCAGAGCACAGCCGACAGTAAGTTCCTATCAGAAAGGGGGTTAAAAATCCCACAGCCCTGTCTGGGGGCAAGCTCACAGGTCTAAAAGGGTGGTCCTGGCTCCGTCACTTCCGAGCAGCATGCAGGTGGAGAAGTTGTCTCATCTCTGAGCCCATTTCTTCACAGAAATGAAAAATCCACCCACTTCACAAGGTTGTGTGAGGCTTAAATGAGCAGTTCAGACTAAAATACCACACAAATGTCAGGATTAGGAAGAAGACAGCAGATAGCTGGTACCATTTCCAGGAAGGGATGATGCTCAGGATATGCGTCTCGTGATTTCTGACTTGCTCATGGTTATAAACTATATGGGACCAAACTTCAGGCTTCATGCCTCAACAGATGTGTAGCCTTACTTAGAGCACGAGATGGATGTTTACTCCCTAACAAGTACCTCCCGCCATCGAGCACAGGATGCTGTACAAATCCACACTGGAGGAAATTCAGCTCATGCTCCCCTGGCCAGTCCTAGGCCTACACAACACCTACGCAACACACAGTGGGTCCCGAGGCTGGTACCAGCCCAGCTCCGCAAACTGCTGCAGACTACGATGAGGCAGCACAGACACCGAGTAGAGCGTTGACAAGCTTTCTTAATAACTTAATAACAGTCATGGCTGTTGAATCTAATAAGGGAAAAAATGGCCTTGCATATTCATTTTTTTTAGTACTCAATTTCTGTTGTATTTTACAAGTGTATTGGTTCTGGATAGACCCTTTCCCTGGCCCCTCTCTCTGCCATTCTCTCCCTCTTGCTGGTTGCCAGTACCCAACCAAATATTCAGCTGTGAATCCTCCCTCCTCATCTTACCCTTCAGCACTTTGCACACTGTGGACCACCTCCTCCTTCCTCAAGCATTTGCCCCCAGGACATGACTCTACGTTGGTTGCCCAGATGCCTCACTGGCGTCTACTCTTCTCGCTGACCTTTAAATATTGGTGACCTGGGGCTCTGACCTCAGACCTTTCTTTCCTCTATCTGTTCTCTCTCTCTCTCTCTCTCTGTCTCTTCTCTCTCTCTCTCTCCTCCTCCTCTCTCTCTCTCTCCTCTCCTCTCTCTCGTCGTCTCGTCTCTCTACTCTCTCTCGTCGTCGTACGTACGTACGTACGTACGTACTTACTTACTTACTTACTTACTTACTTA